TGCAGTGTTGTGATCTTGGCTCACTGCAACCTCTGCCTTCCAGTTTCAAGTGATTCTCCTGCCTCAGCCTCCTGAGTAGCTGGGATTACAGGAACCCACCACCACACCCAGCTAATTTTTGGGTTTTTAGTAGGGACGGGGTTTCACCATGTTGGCCAGGCTGGTCTCAAACTCCTGACCTCGCGATCCACCCGCCTTAGCCCCTCAAAGTGCTGGGATTTGAGCGCCCGGCCCTACTCTTGATGAAATATTTTAAAGGAAGGGGTTAGTTTTTTAGAAGGTAACTAGGGGAGGAGTAATACTCTTAAATGAGAAAGCAGCAATTTCTTCATATTTGGAAATTCTGTCCTAGTTATATATTGTTCATACATTTTTAAAATTTTTATTTATTTATTTATTTTTGAGATGGAGTCTCACTCTGTCACCCAGGATGGGGTGCAGTGGTGTGATCTCTGCTCACTGCAAGCTCCGCCTCCCGGGTTCACGCCATTCGCCTGCTTCAGCCTCCTGAGTATCTGGGACTACAGATGCCCACCACCATGCCTAATTTTTTTTTTGTGTGTGTGTTTTTAATAGAGATGGTGTTTCAATGCGTTAGCCAGGATGGTCTCGATCTCCTGACTTCGTGATCCACCCACCTCGGCCTCCCAAAGTGCTGGGATTACAGGCGTGAGCCACCGCACCTGGCCTACATTTTATTTTTTATTTTGAGTCTCACTCTGTTGTCCAGGCTGGAGTGCAGTGGCACAATATTGGCTCACTGCAACCTCCACCTTCTGGGTTCATGCAGTGCTCCCACTTAGCCTCCCGAGTAGCTGGGTTATAGGCGTATGCCACCGTGCACAGCCAATTTTTGTATTTTTAGTAGAGATGGGGTTTCACCATGTTGGCCAGGCTGGTCTTGAACTCCTGACCTCAAGTAATCCACCTGTCTCAGCCTCCCAAAGTGCTGGGATTATAGGCATCAGCCAGCACACCTGACCCATAATTGTACATTCTTCCAAGCCTCATGGTATGTGCTAAAATTGCCTTACCAACTGCCATGGATAATTTTTAATCCACGTGAACTGTGTGTCTTATTATCCTTTATCATTCCTTGTGGCTGTCCTGTCAGGAGAACGAGATCGGCAACTCCCTCCCCATTAGATTTCTCTTTTGACTTGTGCTTTATGCCTTTGTTCTCTCCTCCATGATTTCAGTGATTTTGGTCCTGCAGAATACTCAGGGGAGTCAGCACTCCTTAAATTATTTGAAGTGCTTGTAGTGCAAATTGGGATGGAATTGGACCATCCTAGGAATGAAGGGAGGTTTGGTCTAGTAGTAAAAGTTTTTATGGATTCTTGCTGCTTCTTAAGTCCCAACATTTAGGAATATACTCAATTTTAATATAGTACAGAGTAATTAGCCTATCCCTTGGATACTGGCAAGAACAGAAAGGCCTGACGTATCAGTGATTGTCTTTACAGGAGAAGAAGGTGGAATGTTGGGGAATATCTATGTGAAAATCTCCCATAAGCTCATTATGATAGATTAATGGTTTCTTATATCATAGCTTTATTTTTTAAAAATTATGATAAAATGCACATAAAATTTATCTTAACCTTTTTTTTTTTTTTTGGAGACTGGGTCTCACTCTGTTGCCCAGGCTGGAGTGCAGTGGTGCAGTCTCAGCTCACTGCAAGCTCCGCCTCCCAGGTTCAAGTGATTCTCCTGCCTCAGTCTCCCAGGTAGATGGGATTACAGGTCCCTGCTACTATGCCTGACTAATTTCTGTATTTTTAATAAAGACGAGGTTTCACCATGTTGTCCAGGCTAGTTTTGAACTCCTGACCTCAAGCGATCCATCCGCCTTGGCCTCCCAAAGTGCTGGGATTACAGGCATGAGCCACTGTGCCTGGCCCATCTTAACCATTTTTAAGTGTACAGTTTAGTGGCATTAAGTGTATTCACATTAGTGTGCTACCATTACTGCCATTCATCCACAGAACTCTTTTTATCTTGTAAAACTGAAACTATACCTATTAAATATTTTTTTTCTTTTTCTGCCAAGAGCTCATTTTTATTGATGTATTTGTGTTTGCTTTTCAGAAGGAGAAAGGCAAGATTCTTCCGTGTTTCTGGACTCGAAACATCTTAATCCAGGACTTCAGCTTTATAGGGCATCATATGAAAAAAACCTTCCTAAAATGGCTGAGGCTTTGGCTCATGGCGCAGATGTGAATTGGGCCAATTCCGAGGAAAACAAAGCAACACCACTTATTCAGGCTGTATTAGGGGTATGTGTTTACACAATGACATTTTCAGTAGCAACTGAATATAAAAAAAATCATAATACATTCTGAACTGGCTTTAGTATTATCTTTGCTTCAAGAGATGGGTTGGAAAATAGAAGGAGCCTCTGTGCTATTAATAGTAGTGGTTTTTGAGCATCACTTTGATTGTTTCAACAGTTTTTTTGCAGTGGGAGAGAATTCTGATAATGAAAGTAGTGTGTTTTGCTAGTTCACAAACTGCAAATGAATCTCTATTAGAATTAATTCTTGGGAAGAAAATAATATAATTTATAATTTCTCTGCTTTGGCTGAGGGATATTCTTTCTTTTGGAGAGAATGAAATGGAAATGCTATTTGAGTAAAGAAAACTAATTGTTTTTAAAAAGAAATGTATTACTGTTTCTTGTTATTTGCTTTTGTATATAGTTATCCTCTTTTTTCCTTTAAGGGCTCTTTGGTGACATGTGAGTTCCTCCTACAGAATGGTGCTAATGTCAACCAAAGAGATGTCCAAGGGCGGGGACCATTGCACCATGCCACCGTCTTAGGGCACACAGGGTAACTGCAGTGCTTTAATATTTAAGGAGACTTTATTTGAAAAATTATTTTGAATTAATGTTGTAGTTTTTCTCAGGTTAAAGTTTTTAGGTCGTGTTTGTAAGGAGATGTGTTCCATGACTTATACTTTGTCATGATGGAATTTGAAAGTTAAAAAAATCTCATTCAGAAAAAGCTACTATTGGTTTTCAGATATGAAAATTTCAAGGCTTACTTTGACCTTAACTTGTCACTAAATAGATCAGTTTTAGTACTTAACTTTCTCTGTTACTAAAATTTGGTGATTTTGTCAGACAACTTAAGCCTATGTTTTGTGTTTATGCAGGTACATATACATTATTTCCATAGCATGCACACACATAACCTATTTAAGGATAATTTGATGACTTTGTAATTTTCAGTTTTTCCATAGGGTAACTAAAGTCAAATTCTAAACTAAATTCTTACTCTGGGTTACGGATGTGTCTTCTGGAGTGATAGTAAGATTCACAGAACAATAAAACCTTGAAAATTGACTTTCTATTATTAGGAAGTATACATGAAAGAAAATGTTGGCTTTATATAAAAAATTTGTGTCTTAAACGCTTGTTTCTTAATAAGACATCTCAGGGTATCCGATTATTACGTGGCAGATAAGCAAGAAGCTCTTATTTTAAAATATTTTTAAAATAGCATCTTCATTTATTTAGAGATGGGATCTCACCCTGTTGCCCAGGCAGGAGTGCAGAGGTGCGATCATAGCTCACTATGGCCTTGAGCTCCTAGGCTCAAGTGGTCCTCCCCTAGTAGCTTGCATTATAGGCGTGAGCCCTGTGTCTGGCTATTTTTATTAATTAATTAATTAATTTGTTTATTTTGAGATAACGTCTTGCTCCGTCACCCAGGCTGGAGTCAAGTGGCACGATCTCAGCTCACTGTAACCTCCGCCTCCTGGGTTCATGCTGTTCTTCTGCCTTAGCCCCCTGAGTAGCTGGGATTACGGGTGTACGCTACCACACCTGGGCTAATTGTTTATATTTTTAGTAGAGATGAGGTTTCATCATGTTGGCCAGGCTGGTCTTGAACTCCTGACCTCAGGTGTTCCGCCTGCCTCGACCTCCCACAGTGCTAGGATTACAACCATGAGCCACCGTGCCCGGTCATGTCTGAGCATTTTTATCATGGCTTGTTTTCTTCTATCAGCAAGGAGCAAGGAGATTCAGTCTGACAACTTCATCATTAAAACTTGCTACACTTAAAAAAGGTAGTATTTAAGGTAGTACTTAACTCATACTTTGTATTTTCTTCTTTTTTTTAAGAGATGGGAGTCTCACTGTGTTGCTCAGGTTGGAGTGTGGTGACTGTTCATAGGCACATTCACAACTCACCACAGCCTTGAATTCTGGGGCTCAGGGTCTCCTGCCTCAGCTCCCCAAGTGGCTGGGACTACAGGCACGCCCTGCCACTCCCAGCTAATTTTTAAATTTTTTTTAGAGACAGAGTGTTGCTATGTTGCTCAGGCTAGTCTTGAACTTTTGACCTCAAGTGATACCCCCTACCTCCGCCTTCTGAGTAGCTGAGATTACAGGTGCTTACCTTGCCCAGCCATTATTTTCTTCTTAAACTATCAAAATTCTTTCCATTTTATTTCATAGACTCCATTTAGTCATTCTTTCATATTTTTAAATTTTTATCAGTTTATTCAAGTCATTAATATTTGCGAGTACAGCAAGGAGATTACTTCCCATTCTTTGCTGTTGTATTATCATTATTGTGAAGTTTACATTGCCTTGGCTTTTTTCATTTTCAAATAGTGACCTTGAGTGATCTTTTTTTCATTTAGGTTTATAGATACCTGTGCGCATCTTTGCATGATATTCTTTTTTTTTTTTTTTTGAGACAGTGTCTCGCTCTCGCCCAGGCTGGAGTGCAGTGGCACGATCTCGGTTCACTGCAAGCTCTGCTTCCCGGGTTCACGCCATTCTGCTCCTTCAGCCTCCTGCGTAGCTGGAACTACAGGCACCCGCCACCATGCCAGGCTAATTTTTTTTTTGTAGTTTTAGTAGAGACAGAGTTTCACCATGTTAGCCAGGATGGGCTCGATCTCCTGAGCTCGTGATCCGCCCGCCTCGGCCTCCCAAAGTGCTGGAATTACAGGCGTGAGCCACCGCACCTGGCCTTTTTATGATACTCTTTGAGGGTAGGGACCACACCTTATATATCCACCGTGCTGTCTTTATAGCACCAGATTAAATAAGATAACGTAGCAAAAATACCTTGAGACTTGTAAAATGTTGATCTTGATAAGCTTTTATTAGTAGAGTTAGTGTTCAATTAATAGTTGTAGAATGAAAGAAGAATTTCCTAATGAAAATGTTATTTATTTAAGTTAAGTAGTACTTTTTTAAGGTGAATACTAATTTTTTTTTCTTACAATATCTCAAAAATGCTGTTTTCTTAAACAGGCAGGTATGTTTATTCCTAAAACGAGGTGCCAATCAACATGCCACTGATGAAGAAGGGAAAGACCCTTTGAGTATAGCTGTGGAAGCAGCCAATGCTGATATAGTAACCTTGTAAGTACTTCCTTTTTACTTGACTATTTCCATACAGTGAATTGCAGTTGTCCCTCGGTTATCCGCAGTGAATTGGTTCCAAGACCCTGTGGATACCAACATCCACATATGCTCATGTCCCTTATATAAAATGGTATGCATTTACACGTAACTTACGTACCTCCCCCCATATACTTTAAGTCATCTCTACTTATTACACCTCATACAATGGAAATACTATGTAGTTTTTATACTATAGTGTTTTGTATTTGTATTTACTTACTTACTTATTTATTTATTTATTTATTTTTGAGACCGACTCTCGCTCTGTTGCCTAGACTGGATTGCACTGGCTCACTGCAACCTTCACCTCCCAGGTTTAAGAGATTCTTCTGCCTCAGCCTCCCTAGTAGCTGGGATTGCAGGCATGATCCACCACAACCTGCTAATTTTTGTATTTTTAGTAGAGACGGGGTTTCACTATGTTGGCCAGGCTGGTCTTGAACTCCTGACCTCAAGTAGTTCATCCACCTCGGCCTCCCAAAGTGCTGGGATTACAGGGGTGAGTCACTGTGCGTAGTGATTATTTTTTATTTTTATTTTTATTTTTGAGACAGAGTCTCGCTCTGTCACCCAGGCTAGAGTGCAGTGGGACCATGTTGGCAACCTCCCATCTCCTGGGTTCTAGCAATTCTCCTGCCTCAGCCTCCTTAGTAGCTGGGATTACAGGCCCCCACTACCACGCCCAGCTAATTTTTTTATATTTTTAGTAGAGACGGGTTTCACCATGCTGGCCAGGCTGGTCTTGAACTCCTGACCTCAGGTGATCCACCCACCTCAGCCTCCCAAAGTGCTGGGATTACAGGTGTGAGCCACCACACCTGGCTGATTATTTGTATTTTTAAATTGTTGTATGGTTATTTTTTATTGCCTTTTTTCCCCTGATTATTTTCCATTGGTGATTGGTTGAACCCACAGAGAAGGACAGCCAACTGTACTTCCACACAGTGTTAACATAGCGTTGTGCATTGTGTGAGCTTCGAAGTTGGCTGGTATTTACTTTGTGCCGTGTACTTCTCTAAGCACGTTAAATGTATTAAACACTTTAAATGCATGAACTTATTTGGTTCTCGCAGCAGCTCTATGAGGAAGATATTGTTAATATTGTCTTCATTTTATAGAAAAAGAACCCAAACCATAGATCATTTGAGATGTTAGTACGTGGTGGAGTTGGGATAGGAAACCAAGAATTGTGTCCCTAAAACCCATGTTCTTAGCCATTTGTGCTATACTGCCTGATACAGAAACAGAAAACCAGTGACTTTAAAATGTTGTGTTTTTTTTGTTTTTTTTTTTTTTGGGACAGAGTGTTGCTCTTGTCGCCCAGGCTGGAGTGCAGCGGCACGATCTTAGCTCAGCAACCTCTGCCTCCTGGGTTCAAGCAATTCTCCCGCCTCAGCCTCCTGAGTAGCTGGGATTACAGGCATGCGCCACCATGCCTGGCTAATTTTGTATTTTTAGTAGATGAAGTTTCTCCATGTTGGCCAGGCTGGTCTTGAACTCCTGACCTCAGGTGATCTGCCCACCTCGGGCTCCCAAAGTGCCGGGATTACAGGCGTGAGCCACTGCACCTGGCTAAAATGGTTTCTTCATCTCTTTGTATAGTACTAGGGCAGAGGCTGGGATTGTTAGAGTAACAGGTAATTATTCTACTACCTTGAGAATTAGAGGATTCTACAATTCTGTAGGCAAGACAGTTGCAGTGATGTTAGTAATTTGTGAAGTTCCATTACCTTTGGGCAGTGGTAGGAATTTGTACTTGTTTTTAAAAAGAATTGTTCACATAAAACCAGGTGCTGCCACCCCTAATCCAAGCTGCTTAGGAGATTGAGGTGGGAGGGCTGCTTAAGCCCAGAAACTGGAGAAAAGCCTGGGCAACACAGCGAGACCCTGTCTCTACAAAAAATTAAAAATTAGCCAGGTGTGGTGGCACATGCTTGTAGTCATAGCTACTTGGGAGGATGAACGAGAAAAAAAAAATTATGTACCTGAATACTTAATTTTAAGATTAAAATGCATGCTTTTGAATGTTTGAATAAAATTTAATGTTATCTTTTAAATAATTTTGAGGTCTTAATTTGATTTACATATCAGATCAAAGTAGTTTATTACACATGGAATTCAGAAAATTAATTGCCACCTATACCTTATTATGTAGGAAATCTCAAGCATATTTTGTATTGTCACTTACTCATTTTATCCTGGGCTAAATGAAGCCCATAATTGCTTATCCCCCATCATTGGAGAAGAAATAGGTCCATTCACACTCCTGAGCTCCTACTGAGAATTCTTGACTTCTCATATGTCACCCTTCTGCCAAATAAAAAATCAAAACAGCAAAACATACTTTCTCAGATCCTTTCCCCTAAGGAGGGGTTACTGTTATTATGGAGGCTATTGCAGGAAAATGTAGAACTCTTAAATCATTACAGATTGACAGTAGAAGAAAGATAAGTTATTCAAGGAAAGATAGGAATGATATAAAGAAGCTCTGCAGGCAACTTCCAAGGCAATACCTATATAGCAATGGACGCTTCCCTTAAAAATAATCTGTTCTCAGGTCGTCGAAATTTTCTTGTTTTACTTGGTGTGAGTGCTTCAGTTTCACTTAAAAATTTTTGTAAGTAAGCATCCTCTGTAAAAACCCAAATGCCAAAGGAAGATTTGTGGAACTGTTGTTAATACACAGAGTGGTCAGGTGAGGAGATGAAGGGAATTGTGGAACGTTGAAGATAGGAAAATTTCATGTCACACGCTGCAGTTGCCAAAGAGAACATTTCAGAAGAGGGTGATGGAGGTCTGAGAAGGCAGTGGAATTATGGTGGCCCAGAAGGACAGACGAGAGGTACAGAGTAGGAGAGGGGTACCAAACACAGTATTTGTCTATTTTAAAATGTTGCTTAAAGGAAATACTTAGCTTCTGAACCTGGTGCTGCATGTCATCTGCTGCCAAGATGAATAACCTAAAAAGAATATATAAGCAATATGGTAATGTTGGAAAATTCTTGATAACCCATAGTCATTTATTATAATGTTTGTATATCAAAATATATTCCCAGTATTTAGAGGTGACACATGCTGTTTATATGTCTGGAACGACCTCACTTCAGGGCGAACCAGAGTGAACTTATGACAGGGTCTCACTTCTGCGCTGTAGAAGCAATAATTTCAACAGTTGGCAGTTAAAATTTGACAGGTTGCTGTAAGAGCCAGGAATTCTCAGGCATCTGGAGGAAGCAAGCCACTAGAGGTACTGCAGGGATGCTGCTGAAATAGAACTAAAATGCAGTGGTTGGAAAAGTTTTATTGTCCTTTCTCTTGAGAGTTATATGAAGGTGAGATAGTTACTTTTGTACCTCAGATTGCTGGGTTTGATAAACTAAAAGCCAGATTATTTTAATGGCAAATAAAAGACAATTACATTAGTACATGTATTACCTGTTTATAGACTTTATTTATGACATTGTATAATGTCATCTAAAGCACTATTTTATTTATTTTTAGGTTACGTTTAGCAAGAATGAATGAAGAGATGCGGGAATCAGAAGGACTTTATGGACAGCCAGGTCAATATTCTACTAATAACCATACTGAAATGCAGTATAAGAAATGCATTCAGGAATTTATCAGTTTACAACTGGAAGATTCATAGTTCTTTAGCAAACTAATGTGATACTATAGAGTTTTTATAACCTACTTGTAAATTGTGAGTTGTTAGCTTTGTACTGTACTTAACTGAATCCTTGGGTGGCTAATCCTGGGCCTTTAAAAATTCGTAACTCTTCCTATGACAGTACACGTTGACTTGCTCTATTTAACTCTGGCTGCTGACTTCTTTATTTGCTGTACAGATGTCTTCCATATACATTCCAGTGAAGTGAATGGAATGGTAAAAATATTCTTTATATACTTACAGCAGCAAAATAGTTGTTTTCTTTTTGGAATTCTTTTTAGCTGTCAAGTGAATATAACAAAATTGTTTTCTTTTTGTTATTCAGGGAATTTCTATAAATTACGTTCAGGGAAAAAAAAAAAAATCACCATGTGTCTGGCATATAAAAAGCCAGTATGGAAAATACCAAGAAAACGTTTACTGATGAGTTTTGTACTACAATCTAAAAATGAGTTGAAGATTTAAAATGAAAATTCACCAGGTGGAGAAGTCCATGATGTGAGTGGAGCTAGTTTGAAAGACTGAGGGCAAAGGTCTCATTTTATCTAAAGCTAAAGCTTTGCCTCCAGGCAGTTGTACATTATCTCTTAGATAAGTGGAATTATTTAGAACAATACTTTTTGCAGCTGATGGCAGAGTAGATTTATTCTACTTGAGAAATTTCAATTCATGATCACCTCAAGTTTCATTTTGAGTAATTTTCACCTTTGAATCAAGATGTCAAGGAAGAAATATTGCCCATCAGATTCTTCTCTTTGATGAACACGTTGATTAGACATTTTTCACAGAGAAGAGAGTAATTATTGGTTCTCTTGTTTCATGAATTTGAGTATGTGAATTACTCTGTTTTAAATTTATATGCACATTAGTAAAAAATTTCAGGAATTCATGACTAAAATACTTGAGAATGTTCAGTTTGCAATGAGTAGGTTTGGTTTTTTAAAAATGAATATGGTTACATTATTTTTAAAGTGACCTGGTAATATCATCTCTTCTTCCTGCTTAAATACATTTTGAAATTTCTGTACTTCAGCCATTTATTTTAGCGAGATTAATATATAATGTGAGGCCATTCTTTCCTCAGAGGACCATATTTACTACTGCTTATTTTTGGCCTAATTTAATATGGAACAAGTAAGAACGTTAGGAATAGAGGCACTTCAGCTAGATATTTCTCATCTAGGGTGTCCCACTTTAATCCTATGGATCGTACAATACTAGGCGGCTCGCGAAGTTCCAGGATGTGAGAGTGCTGATTAAGGGTGAAGCTCTAGCATTAATTCTGGATTTCACCCATTTGTTTTAAACTTGAATGTTAGATTTTAAATAGGTTATAATTTTGTAACAGATATTCTTAACTGATAGTATTACTAGGCCATTTTTGAGGCCTTTGTGTTTAAGCACTTTAAAATAAAAATTGTTTAAAGAATATGACCTGCTATTTGTGAGAGAAGAGTGAACCTCAAGATTGTAAGTTGAACAGTTATTTTCCCCCTGAAATTTTTAGCTTCAATGTTTGGTTAGCTGCTCTTTCCTTAAGGTGTTTGCTGATGGCGTTCACCCAGCTGATTAGCCAGGTGGCCATGGTGGGCTCTTCTCTGAAGTTGGGAAGCTTGAAAGGAGAGGGCCTCGAAGTTCTTGCCACTTCTACTTGCACCCAAATTGCTTGGGTTTCTGCTGCCATCATTTAGGAGCGTTCAAATGTCTTTCCCTGTCATTTTTGAGTTTATATATACATAAACTTAAAATGTATAAAAAAGATTTTTCCAATTTATTTTAATGAAAACTTGAAAAAAAAAGCCTCGTTTTAAAACAAGCTCTCCTACCATTCTCACATTCTACAGGTTAAAAGATCAGAGTTCTGGAAATAGTATATCAGAATAAAATTGAGATTTGTGTAATTTATTTGAGGATCATCTTGAAAAGGGTTAGATTTTTAACTCATTCAGAGGGCCTGATATTTAAAGCAGGGTAATTTTATGCGTAGACAGGGGACATGGTGAAATGGCACAGCAGTTGCTCTCCGGTTACTGTTCTTTTCCTTTATGAGTCTTTAGAGAGCGGGTGTGTTTGGCTCAGGCAGCGGCTCTTTGTTTTTCCTCTGCTTATCACTGGACTTTTTTCTATCAAACGCTTTGGTTACTTGTTTTATTGGGATCCTTTTTTGGTTTTCTTAGCAATACTATGAAGACTTCAGAACTCTGGGTAACTTAAATGCAGGTATTTTTAATCTTTTGATAATGAAGAGCTCTATCCTTTAAAAGATTCAGATGTAATCTTTGGCAATCACTGATTTATTTCTAAGAAACCCCACTTGTGAACTTTCTGTCTGTACAACCCTAAGGACCTGGGACTCCCTGTTTCTTGCGTGGGGTGATGTGAGAGCACACGTTTTTTTTCAAAAGAAGGTGTGTCTCTCTTTGGCAGTCCCTGTAGCCCTTAGGAGACGTGGGTGGGTAAGGGAAACAGCACACTCTTCTCTCAATTATTGGAAACCAGTTTGGTGGTTCCCACAGTCTCTGGCTCTGTGACTCTTCTTGATCGTTGGCAGGCTCTCAGCCAGTTGAGAATCATCACTGCTTTAGGGATCCACTGCTGGTTATGTGAGTATGTAGCAAGCACAAGTTGGGAATCGTTGATCTAAGCAATTATGAAAGTAAGCTGTTACCAACCCAGAAGGGGTAAGGTCATGCATATGATGACCTGGGGGTGGGTCTCACATGCTGCCATCCCTTTGAGGGGAGTACATTTCAAGAGCAAAATCAGCAAACTCTTGAATCGTCATAACTGCTGTTTTGGTAGATATTCTGAATACCAAAAATTAAAAATAAATTTAAACTGTCAGTGGAAACACAGCAGTCTGCATTTTAAAAACTCAGAGCTGTCCAGGCACATAGACTAGTTAGGTGTCTGAAGGGAAATAGAATGTGGTTAAGTTTAAAGAATATGCTTAGTATTATAAATGTTGAGTGATTAGTTGTTTACCATTTATAATAAACTGTTAAATGTATTTCTGGGAACATTCCATGGCAGCATATTCTGGGTTGTTGTTATGTAGACAAATTATATTTGCCTTGGGAAAAATTCTAAGTAATCAAAATTATATTTAAATATTAAAAAATCACATTGAAGTTCAATTTGTGTTAGCTGTATTAAATATCTTGGTCACTATTGTTCTTGTAACGTTTGCTTTGCTTTTGGCAACACGTTTTGAGATCTAAGAAAGGTAGTACTTTAACAGTGCATTAATTAATGTTTTGTTAGAAGCTAAATGTTAGCAAAAAGTTTTGTGTGTGTATGTGAAGGTGGCAACTTCCTTTTGTATTAATGCTTTTTAAATGTATTCAGTCAGTGAAACCAATGATTATTATAGCACCAACACTTTCATTCAAGGAAACATTTAATAGAGTCTTATAATTTGTTTTGCATGGTACAATGGTTCTACTAAAATATACTTCTGTAATAGGTACTAGATGATTTAAAAACAAAAACAGAGAAACCATTTTAAAAATTCCATAGCTTGTTACGCAAAATATGCATTGCTAATAGTAGAAGCCATATATTGCCATTGTACTGTTGTAATACTTAACAGTGCTCATCTGGTGCTACCTGTAGACTGTTTGGTATTCACGTCTGCTAGACCCTTCTTCCTGTTTCTTCTTGAATGTATAATGTGTGCCTTTTAAGTTACTTCTAGTGTTGAATGGTAAAATCTTTGTGGTATTTTTGTATTATAATCTGCACTTTACACTTTCTTGGAAAGGAAAATTCCAGACTATCCAGTTTAAATAGTCTTTTAAAAATATTTATAATGTTTACAATAAATATTTTAAATATTTTAATTCAATATCTAAAAATTAGAAAAAATATTTTATATGGTTTGTTGCTATTTGTTGCTCTCTTCTCTATTTATTTTATATCTTTTAGAATGGTTAAAAATGAGAATAGCAATCTTTGTCTTTTGATGTGGAAGTAAACTTTTACGAAATCATGGGTATAATTGGATTGTCTTACCAGTTGTTCCAGCGTATCAACCTTTTATTTTGGTCATGTCAATATGAGTTAGATGTTAGTTACTCTCAGCCACCTGTTAATAATCTCTTCTTACTGTTTTTTTCTTTTTAAAGTAGACTGATTAGGTTTAATCGACTGACTCAAGTCAGGAATAAATTTCCAGGGCTAAATGAAAACTATATAGAGATGTTAATAAGTTGCTTTTTACCTAGACTAAATATAAAAAGTGACTAAAAAGTGTTAAAAAAAACATTTTTTTTTTTGAGGCGGAGTCTTGCTCTGTCACCCAGGCTGGAGTACAGTGGCGCGATCTCGGGTTTACGCCATTCTTCTGCCTCAGCCTCCTGAGTAGCTGGGACTACAGACACTCGCCACCTCGCCCCGCTAGTTTTTTTTGTATTTTTAGCAGAGACGGGGTTTCACCGTGTTAGCCAGGATGGTCTCGATCTCCTGACCTCGTGATCCGCCCGTCTCAGCCTCCCAAAGTGCTGGGATTACAGGCTTGAGAATGCAAGGTATCTTATAGGAGATAATTATAAAACATGTTACAACAATAATATTCAAAAACAGTATTCTGTGGTTGAAATCTTAAGAACAGAATTATGCCAAGCATTTGTATAAGGCTAATGTTAGCAGGAAGCATTAATGATGAATGATTTGTCTTGAAAATAAGATTCCTTTGTCTGAGGAATTGATCTGTATGTGTGTGTATATTTAGTTTCTCATGACAAGAAAAACGGTATTCAGTCAGCTATAATATCAGTATCTATAATCTCTTTCTCGACAACATATTTATACATATACACATTTATTTTTCTAATTTAACAGATGTCCTTGGTATTTACTTGCATTTTGTCATAGCATTCTTGCTCATATGACCTGCAGCAAAACAAAAACAAACCCAACTTTTAAATATGCAAAACTAGGATTTTAAAGCCTTGTTTTTTTTCTTTTTTTTTTGAGACAGAGTCTTGCTCTGTCGCCCAGGATGGAGTGCAGTGGCGCGATCTCGGCTCACTGCAACCTCCACCTCCTGGGTTCAAGCAATTCTTCTGCCTCAGCCTCCCGAGTAGCTAGGATTACAGGCACTCACCACCACGCCTGGCTAATTTTTGTATTTTTAGTGGAGGCAGCGTTTCATCCTGTTGGCCGGACTGGTCTCAAACTCCTGACCTCAGGTGATCTGCCCGCTTCGGCCTCCCAAGGTGCTGGGATTGCAGGCATGAGCCACCACGCCCTACCTTAAAGCCATTTTCTAGGATTTTGTTGTTAATTTTTGTAGAGACATAGTCTCAGCATGTTGCCCAGACTGGTCTTGAACTCCTGGCCTCAACCAGTTCTCCCCCCCACCACCCCTTAGCCTCCCAAAGTGTTGGGGTTATAGGCATGAGGCACTACACCTGACCAGATTTTATGAGTTTAGTAAGCAGTGGATGTAGGTGCATTAGTTTTAATTACGCACTAAAGTTTGACTAAAAAATTACTTTTTTACATGCTCTTTTAAATTCCTTTTAATTAAAAGACAGTATTATTTTTCCCTGAGTATCAGTTTGTCCTGATTATCGGTTTGTCTTGTTAATAACTTGCATCCATCCAAAACATTAGTATTTAGGTTTTAGTCATTTCTTTTGGCCTTTATCAAGGGAAACATTTATTGAAAGGAGGTCTCATTTACTATAGCTCATTTAGAATGACTTTCCCCCTCATGTGTTAATAAACGTATTTCTTCACATTGCTTTAACACACTTGCATCTTTGCTCTTTTCTAACTCCGAGCTTTCTTCTGTGGCTGCATCTGAGGTGCTTTTTTCAGGTATAGTTTTTTTTTTTCTTTCATTACATAATTTTTCAGCATTTATTTTTAGTTGCCCCTTTTCTTCCAAAAATGCTCATCTGAACAAAATTTTAATGTAATGAATTATAAAATAGTACTAGTAATAAATATGAATGTTGTTTTATTAATACTTGTGTAAATGTTTAAAGTGTCTTTATTTTATTTCATGCAGGTGATGAAACTTACCAGGACATATTTCGTGATTTTTCCCAAATGGCATCCAATAATCCAGAGAAACTAAATCGTTTCCAGCAAGATTCACAGAAATTCTGAATTTTTTTTTAAATGGGAAAATATGAAATCTGGTGACCCCCTAATGTATACAGCTAAAACTTCACAATTTTTTACTGCTTTAATTCTACTTAATTTTGGTAGATATTGAATGGCTTGGAAAAAAGGTACCCATTCATATATTTACAAATTAAAACAGTTTTCTAGTAGTTGGAGAGGAACCTAATTTAGGACCTCTTTTATTAAAAAAGCCTATTTGAAGGGCTATTTCTGTAGATAAAAGTTCAGTCTAGATTTAGGCCATCTCTAGGTTACAAGATGCTAGGAGATCAGATGAAAATGATTCTTTTGCCAATGGGTGGTAGCACTGAATTTTTCCCACCGTGCGTCTTGCCCAGGATCATTCAGTCAAGCATGTCTTCATCAAGTGGGAGCCAACTGTCCTGCCTGCCTCAAGAATATGTTTTTTCTTTAGCTTTCCTGATGATTTTTGGTGGTTCAGAAATAGCTGTGTGTGTTTATGTGTTTTGGTAACCTAGCTTTCATACACTCAATATACGATTTATTAGAACCAGAGAATGTGTTTTCCCCATTTGTTCATAAATGCAGTTATACTTCTTAGATGACAGGTTATTGTCCAGTACTTTAATGTATGTATGTATAATGGCTGTACAGGTAGACCATAATTCAGGCCTTTAGATTTATTTTATGCAGCAAATTTTAATCACAAAAAAAAAACCCAGTTCAAAATACGTAGTTCTTCATTGTTGGGTTGATTTCCTGAAGCCTTGACAGATGTATCGATGTAATAAAACTGTGTCTAACAGGTTGCTTGAATGTTGCAAAATTATGCTTTCATCAAAATTTAACTTTTAAAGGAAAAATCAATTTATAAAATAATATAGGCCATTTTTATATTTGAAATTTGTCCTTTTAAAGATATAGTTTTGCTGTTGCTCCTAGTGAAAGAATCTCTGTACAAAGGAGAAAAAGAACCCCACTTATTCTTAGTTAATACTAAAATATATAGCAATAAATTGCTGTTTATTTTTTTCTACATCTATTTTGTGTACTTGTACACAGTGTACATTCTTTTAAATTATATCATGTATATAGCTTTAGTGTTCGGTTACATGATTCACAGACCCCTGAATTCCAAAATATTATGGATAAACATATTACCATTTATATGCCACAAATTAGTCTGATTCCATCTTTGAAATGTCTTATCAAGTATAAAATAATTAATTTGCCTTTTTTTTTTTTTTTTTTTTTTGCAGTGGCCATGAAAAGAAGTTACCAGACAGTGGAGTTAACTCAAAATGAGAACATTCCAGATGGGTAACCAATCATCATCAGTCAGTGAATGCATCCTGAATGACTAAGACTCTTTTGAAAAAAAAATTAATATGCCTTTTTTTTTTTT